AAACATTTAACTATGCAGGTCTATGGTATTCACTAAATTCACATTGTTGTACAGATGCCTCACCATCCGTCTCCAGAACTTACTCATTTTCCCCAAGTGAAGCCCTGTGTCCAGTGAACACTGACTCCCCTCAGCCCCTGGCAGTGACACTCTTTTTCTGTCTCCACATTTGATTTCTCTGGATGCCTTGTATAAGGGGAATCCTGTAATATTTGTCCTTCTCTGGCTTGTTTCACTTAGCATAGGGACTTCAAGATTTATCTACGTTGCAGTGTGTGCCATAATTTCCTTAGTTTTTAAGGCTGTGCGGTATCCCACTGTGTATACACCACGTGTATTTTATCCATTCACCCGCTGATGGACAGGTGAGTTGTTTCCACCTTTTGCTGTTGTGATTAGTGCTGCCATGGGTATGGGTGTACCCGTTTCTATTCCAGTTCCTGCTTTCAAATATTTTGAGCATATATCCTGAAGTGGCATTGATGGATCACACGTCAACCCCAAGTGTAATTTTTTGAGGAACTCCCATGTGGTTCTCCACCGTGGCTGCACCATTTTATTCCTTCATATGGCAGAATAATATGGCAGTTTATGGATGTACCCTGTTTGTTTATCTGTTTAGCCTTTGATGGACATTTCAATTGTTCTGCCTTCAGGGCCGTTGCGCATAGCGCTGCTGTGAATATTTGTGTGCCTTTTTTCATTTGAACACCTGTTTTTAATGTTTCGGGGTCTATATCTAGGAGTGAAGTTGTTGAACCCTAAGGTAACTGTATTTTTATCTGTTTGAGGAAATGACAAACTGGAAACATGGGCTGCACCATTTTCCAGTTTCTCAAGTAGTGTTGAAAAGTTTCAGTTTCTCTACATTTTGGCCAGTATTTGTTGTTTTAGTTTTCTTGACTGCAGGGCTTCCAGTGTGCTTGGGAGGGACGGCATTGTGGTATTCATTTACATTTCCATCACGGCTGATTTTTAACATCCTTTCATGTGCTTGTCGACTATTTGTCTTGTCTGGAGAAGGGTCTATTTTTTAAAAAATTATTTAATTTTATTTATGTAGTGGTGTTTTTCTTTTTCATTTTATCAGGTAGAATTATTACTGTTTGACTGCACATATACATTATATTGCATGTAAATACATATATACCATATGCTGTACTTTTTTTTAGCTTACATATAGAGAAGGGCCTATTTAAGCCTTTTCCCATGTTAAAAACGGGTTTGCTTTGTCTTTTTATGAGTTTTAAAAGTTCTTGATACATTCTTGATAAAATTTTTTTCAAGTATATAATATACAAATATTTTCTTCGATTTTGTGTGCTGTCTTTTCAGTTTCTGGATAGCATCTTTGATGTACAAAAGTCTTTAATTTTTACCACTCTTTGAATTTAAGCTTTTTGTGTATCTTGAGTTAATTTTGCATGTGGTATGAAGCAAGGATCCAATTTCATTTCTCTTGGAAATGAAAAAAATTTCACTGGATAGACAATTGCCTGGCACCATTTGTTGAAAACGCAATTTTCCCCGATATTTACTGTTGTCCACTGTGGTAAAAAATCAGTCAGTGTGTGTGTCTTTTCACATTAGTGTTGCCCTGGATACACGCCCAGCATTGGGATCTCAGACTTTTCTTGCTTCTGACCTAATCAGGAGGAGGTCACTATGTGGAACCTACACTTCAGGAGAGGGGGGCTTTAGCTCCCCCTCCTTGATGGATGTCATGGATTATTAGGAACACTCCTGCATAGGAGTTTTGTGTTCAATCTCATTTATTAAAAACAAAACAAAACAAAACAAAACAAAACTGTGTCATCATTTAACTTCACCACTGTGGACACCTGGATAGTTACTTAAATCTTTTGGTTATAATCCAGCACTACAGGTTTGGTTGCTCAGTTCATTCCTGCTTTGGCCATTGAGAACTCTTTCATTGGCTCCTGTTTCCTTTGAGGTCATTCCATATTTTGGAGCTTTTTCTCCCCTGGTACCTCCTTACTTTCTGATACAAGATTCGAGATGATCCTGGCTCATATATTGACTGTCTCAGTCCTAGTAGAAGCCATTTCTTCAAAGAGTCCTGATTCCTTTTTAGAGAATGATATTAAGAATTTACGTATGGAAGGAAAATGCTCTCATCTGACAGTGCAAGGAAACGTGTGCATGTGTTCCCACCTTAGTGTATTGTTGTTGCTCAGGGACCACCCATCTGCCACAACCACGTAGTGTTTTAAATGTAAGTTACTTAGAAGTGGCCAAAGCAAGAGGGACACTCTGACCCCCGCTCTATCTCCCTAAAAGCAGGAAATAAGCCTGTCATGTGAAAGGTTCAGAGGAGCATATAAACATAACTTGTAACTTTTTAAGTTTACAACCCCAAGCCCAAACTCTGTTCAGATTCTTCATTGAGTACCCAAAAGCTACATTTCTGTGGGCTGTCAATTCCTAATAAATTTATAGTTTTCTAGATGTATAAAACCTGCCTGTTTTCACTACCTCTTACTTCCCATTTCTATGAGACTTGTGTGTGTAGGAATTAAAATTTCTTTTTCTCCTGTGGCTCTGTCTTGCATTAGCTTTATTAGTAGTCCAGCCACAAGAAGTCAAGAGGGAGAGAGAGTGAAATTTCCCCCTTCCCAATAGTATACACTCCTAATTACAAAGATTTCTATGTGGAAATGTCTGTATTCATATGAAGCAGAAGACGGTATTATACTGATGCCTCCAACTTGATCCATTATCATATGGACAGTGTACACCCCCCTCGCTTATCTGTAACTCCCAGTCAGACAGTAGAATCCTGGTTCCCACCAGCTTCCACCCATTCAGTTCATTTCTCATTCTGCTCCAGATGAGTGGTTTCAGCGTGCTTAGCTCCTACCTGTGTGGGATGGATCTTACAGAGCCCACTGTTTACGTGCAGTACGTTTTCCCTGTGGTCTGCACGTTCTGTTCATTCCTGCAGTCACTGAGGCTGGTCTCTTCTGCTCCACCAGCAGCAGTGAGTGTTTTCACACATTTCTAATACAGACCCTGTGTTACATCCTGTACTCCATCCTGTGACACTACTGCTTACTCGATCACTTAACTGACTTGTTGGGTCATAAAAACCTATGGGTTTAGACAAGTGCATAATGGCAAATGTCCACCACGAAGTATCATATGGAACATTTCAACCCCCCTCCCCATGAGATGTTTACCATCTCTTAGTTTCCCTTTCTCTGAATTTCACAAAAATTGGGTCACATAGTGCATAGGTAGCCTCTCCAGAC